CGGGAAGGGGCGGGCAGCTCGCTCCTGCGGCGGCCGCGGCGGCCGTGCTCATCTCGGCGGCCGAGCGCTCGAGTGGACGCGGGCTGCGCAAATGGCTTGTCCGGCGCTCGGTCTGGAAGCTCTGCAGCCCCTGCAGCCCGAGCCGCCCCCCGAGCCCGCCTTCTGCGAGGCGCAGAAGTGGATCGAGGTAGGTGCCGGTGGCGGGCGGCGGCCTTTGCAGGGGCGCCCGGAGCGACTGGCCCGCGCGCACGGACCGCAGCACCCCCCGCCCGCCAGCCGCTCCGGGTCACCCGCCGGGCCTCGGGCGGGCTGTGGTCCCCTGGCACTGTGGCATTGAGAGTGGGAGGGGAGCGCGGATGGGGGACACTGCGGTGTGGCGCTGCGCCTTGGGCAGGAAGCGAGTCCCGGCGCCTTCATGCCTCCCGCCTGTCCGGCAAATCTCAGTTTATACCGCTTCCAGGCGCTGCCGAGGCAAGCGCAGTGAGACCAGAAGCCCTGCGAGGGCGCAGGGAGCGCGAGCCCCCGAGTCCTAGCGGGCGCCGCATTTCGGGGCTGCCCCACATTCCGCTCCTGGCCTCGCTCCCTGCCCTTCCAGAGCGGAGCTGCCGGTGTCTCCACCCAGGTGCAACCCGCCGGAGCCTCTTGCTGTAGCCCTGGCACCGGCTCAGGTGTGAGGCTGGCAAGGCGCCGGGCAGCGGGGGGGCTGCAAGACCCACCTGCGAGCGCACCACCCGCACAGACGCTGCCCAGCCTTGGGCAGCAGCCCGCGTCTCACCCTGAGACGAAGGGTGGGCTGCGAGGGGCAGGGTGCCCGGCCCAGTCACTTCTTAAATGCCTCGGTGGCAGGCCAGGGAAATCACCGGAGCTCTGGCTGGGTCCAGGAAGCGCTCGCTGAGTGATCCTGATTCACGATGCCTATCTGGAGATGAGCTCGGTAGCCCTGCGCTGCTGAAATGACCTGTTGTGGCGGCCAGGACGCTTGGAGGGTGTGAGGGGGAGCCACTGTGACCCCTTGGAGCAGCCGCTGCTTCAGAGAGCGGCCTTTCTTGGGCTTGGCAGAAGGTGAATGAGGCCCTGATAAGTGAAAGGAGGAAGTGCGCCGCTAAGTCTTGACAGCGATGATGAAGCTTCTTAGTACTGGGACTGTCACTTAGTGATCTCACCCCGACCCTGGGGCACCGCAGATCTCGCATGTTGCCGGAGATGACTGAGCTGCGATGTTGCAGACTTAAAGCTGCGAGCTGCCTGCAGAAACCAGGCTCTCTGAGTGCCCCAGTCACAGGCCTGCACCTTGCGTGGTTAACCTGCTCTATGCAAGGAAGCGGTCCCCAATTTAGCACTACTGTCCCTATTTAAAACTAGACTTAAAGAATGAGAAGAATAAACCCGGCACTCTATTGCTAAAAGCCCCGGCCTGCGCGCCACCAGATGAGAAACCAGCGTTGCCTTTTTGTTTTTGATTCGTGTCCAGAAGGCTTGGAGCGTGACAGGTGCTGCATGCTTAGGTCTCTCCTCCGGGAGACCTTGGCGCTCACTGGCCTAGTGGGAGTCCCGCGATTGTACTTTTTCAGGTTCTTGAACTTGAAAATTTTTAGGAGAGATTTTGGATGTGGGAGGGAACGAAGGAAGGAGGATAGAAGAGCAGAACTGTTTTACTGTTCATGAGGGCAAGTGATTTGTCCCCCAGTTTCCTTAATGGCGAATAACCTTGGCCTACTCAGCTCTAAAAAGTGTACTGTGTTATGAACTACACACAGGAAAGCACACAAATCCGAAGTGTGCACCTCCATGAATTCTGGCAGATGTGTTTTACTACAGCCCCTACCTAAATCTGAGACAAAACACCTCCCAGGTTTGGTCTGTTTTTCACCTGCTGGTATAGTTCTGCAGTACAGAACATCAGCTTTCCATATCAGGTTTAAGAAAAGAAAGAAGAGGCTCCTGAGAAAATAGAGCCCCTTTAGGCCCTAAAGACAGTTTGGTATTCTTGATACGTTGCCGTTTATACCACTTGAATGTGGAAAACCCTGATAGTGCTTGTGTGGCTGTAGGACCAGGCAGCCGGGCACGCTGTGTGTGCATTATTGAAGCAGGCCTATCTCCTTTCAGTTTCGGAGTTTGATTTCATGGAAAGGAGAGCTCCCCCCGCCCTCCTCCAGACTATATAAAAAAGGTATTTGCTACTGGGAAAGATAGAGACCTTCCCCTTCCTTCCCGAAGGTTCCTCTTGAAATGTAAATGACTTGTCTGCGAACCAGGGGAAGCCAAGGGTAGTAACAGATGGTTTTGCACGCAGTTGCCCTGTGAACAAAGATTCCTTGGCTAATATAGCAATAATGTAGTACTTAGTGTGAGCTCAGTTCCTTGGGGATTCTTATCTGGAGACAATTGCATCTCCGTTAGGGGCCCCATTGTATTTGGCAACATCCTCATTGGTAGGGCTTTGTTTTTCTCTTTTGTTCAGTTGTTGATTAAATTTCCCACAGGCTTTTTTTTTTCCTTTTCTCTTTTTGAGCAGTCAGGAATTTCACCCTGACTGAAAAATGCTCCCTGGTGGTGTGCAGCAGGTTAATAAACAAACTCTGCTACTTGTCTTTCGTCCTCAATCCCTGGTCTTCCTTGCGTCAGGGGTTGGCAAGAAAATCTTCATTCTTACTAAAGGCTCAAGGAAAAAGCTCTAGGACATAACTTCTTAGTGAGGAATTTCTCAGCCTGCAGCCTTGGCAATTTGAGGAGTGTGTTACTGGGCAGGAAATGTGGCCTGGGAACAGGCTCCTACCTTATCCTACCCCCAGCTTCTGCCTTTGCTGGCAAAGGTGAAAACTATAGTGGCCACAGACCATGTGGGGACGGCCGGTGACACTTCCAGTGACTTTTTATAGCTGTAGGAGCAGGCTGCATGTCCCACTGTGGGTCTGGGGAGGCTACTAAAGGGAACTTCAAATTTTAAGTATGATTGGCTACCACCAGATAGGGGCGTGGCTAACTTCCTTCCACATTCCTTTGCTAGAAAGTTTTCCTGAGCAAGAGGTAGCTAAGTGCAGCATGGTGGCTGAGAGGTCCGATTTTGAAACTTGGTGTCATAGGTTTGAGCCCTGGGTCTGTCACCTTCTAGGTGGGCACCCCAGGGCAAGGTGTTTTTCCCGTCCTTGTGATTCCGAGTATTTTCTTTGAAAGATCCGTTCTAGTTGTTAACAACACAAATAACAAAGTGATATTGTTGAAAACATCTGTAAAACAGGATATTGATACTAGCTCACCTACCTCATAGGAGTATTGTGTGGGTTTAGGGTTTAGGATGTTAACCTATTTAAAATGTTTGGTACGGTGCTTACTACATTGGAAGTACTATATAAATGATGGTTAGTATTATTATCACCACTAATATTATTACAGTATTGCTATTATTCTTACAACTATCATTATTCCTACCAGTCTTATTGCTGCTGTTGTTCTTGTTAAAAACAACTAAACCTAACTTTGAAAGAAATTCTTTAGAATTCTGTTTTCAGAGTAGAAAATATAATCCAATCACCAACAGGTTTCATCCTATTATTATTAATTCATTCACTCATTCATGAGATGAAGCCCAGGGTCTGTGTGCTCTAGTACTGGGTTACACCCCAGCTATCTCCTTCTATTATCTCTGGCTATGTGGACTAGAAGTACATGCTACTTGTTACTCTAATTTGCACTAAAGTGATTTTGGGGCCAGAGGAAAAACTATAATAATCTCCTCATAAGATGATTCCACTAGTCCAGCAAGGTTTAGGAAAGCTTCCCCCAATAGTATATTGGGTATTGAAGTTTAATATATAGTTTTCATTACCAGATTCCAAGCTGAGTGCCCAATGTCTTTCCTTTTGCAGACAAACCCATATTAAGTTGTTATACAAATAGTGTCCACATATTCATCTCAAATGTAGCAGTATTTTGTTCACTGAAGATATGTCAAGTCCTGCTAGAGAAAAGAATAATTCCTGCATTGATTTTCCTTGTGCCTTCCTCCCTTCTTCTCTGAGTTACAGCTGTTTGTGAGTAGGTAGATGATTCTGACTTTCCTGGCTCCCCCACCTCAGCCTCCCCACCCAGGGCAGTATTAATCAGTTCTAATCTGTCTTTCTGCTCCTCAGTGCCAAACCCTTTCTGGAGGAACAGATGTCCCTTCAGCTTGGTTTCAGCTGTGATTTGGAACAAGTTGCCAGGCCTTTAGGGAGGGGCTGGAAATTTCAACCCAACTCAGCTTTACTTCTCAATTTGAGAAGTTTCTGGACTCCTTTAACCTTAATCATATCATGCCCATGGGGCTGGGTGATGAATGTAGTCTTATTTGTGACCTAATCCATGTTGCACAAAAGTGGGAACTGGGGCTGGAAGGGTTCAGTTCATCATTTTGGTTCACTTCCCCATGTTTAACCTAGGAACTGAATTAAAAGCACTGAGGGTACCTTAGTTCTCCAAGACTGAAAGACATTATATCACTTGAGAGTGGGAAACTTTATGAGTAGTCTTTGAGATAAACTAGCATTTGGTGCTCAGTCGCATAGGATACTATGTGTCAGTTCTGTAGTCATCCTAATTCTCCACCTCCATATGGAGGAGCCTTTTTTAAATTTTTTTTTTTTTTTTTCTGAGACAAGGTCTCACAGTGTAGCCCATGCTGGCCTTGAATTTATGATCATCCTGCCTCAGCCTCCTAAGTTCTGGGATTGTAGGAATGTGTCACAAAACCTACTTTACATCTCTTTAAAATCACAACTAAGATTTAACTTCACAAGTGGTCCTCCAGATCTGCATTGGAGAGATGGGGAAGAGGAATAAAACTTTAATGGCTAGATCAGGAAAGAAGTAGTGATCTGAACACATATGTAAAGTAGAAAAAGCAGCATCTCACAATGACACTGAAATAGTCTGGCCTGTTTGTATACAAGTGCTGCTATGACACAGTTCTGTCACAGGGTAGGAGAACAGTGAAGTCCCACAGATTTGGGGAGAGAGGAAGCAGCGCTGGAGGTGGAGCTGGTGCTCCTTGCCCCAGCATCTCCCTGGAAACCAGTTGCTTCAAGCAAGTTCTAAATGGGCAGCCTGAGCACAGGCTACTAAGAAGGGCGGGGCATGTTCTCCCAGCAGCTGGAACTCTCAGCCCTGCACTCACTGATGGATGACAATGGGCCCATGGTGAAGACA